CAGTGCTCCTAAGAAATGTGTCCAGCCTCTCTTCATAGCCACTGTGAATGAACTCTCTGAGTTTTCTTTTCAAGTGGCCTAATGCCATCTAGATTAATCTCCTTTTAATCTAAATTTATAAATTTTTTTCTTAATTATTGAGAAACATTTTTTTAAAAGAGATAAAAATGCCACAATGAGTATTCCCGTTTAGATATATTATCTCTCTTGGTTATAAGTTAACATAAATAAATAGCACATGTCAAGGTTATTTTAAAAAAAAATACACATGACCCTCCTTCGGTATTCCCATCCATCTGGCTGAGTTAATATGAAAACTCTGTCTGTGGGAACTTACGTTTGGTTATGGACTTACATGGACAAAAGTCGTTTTTGAAAAACTGTATTGTGACTATGATAAATTAGTTGGGCATAAAAGTTACAGTCACGGTTACAAAGAATTGTGCTGCTTGTGCGTAGGTACACAACAGACCCCATGCCGTCCCTGTCCCAGCGTGGATCCGGTTGTCTCCTAATGACTAGGTTTTCCTGGTTATCTGCCCTATGCTCTGTGCTTTTCTTTCAAAGGCAGCCTAAGCCCCTATCCTGGCACCCACTAGCACTCCCTCCAAATGTTCCCATTCCAGGCAAGGGCACAAGTCAAAGACTGACACAAAAGAGAAAATAAAAGGAAACAAACTGGACAAAGACCACAAAGAGAGGACATTTATTAAGTATTAGGTACCAGTTCCTGACATCTGTTTCCCTCAAGAAAAAAAATGTAATAATGTTTTTTAAAGACTAAAACCTATTCTAGTAGAATTGTAGTAGAACATTCTAGTAGACTATTACAGGAAAAGAAATTATGTACATTCTCCCTAAATCCCGCTGCCTTAAAATGACCTTTTCTTTTAGTTTATATGCCAAAGTCTTGTTTGACTACAATAAAAAAAAATTAAACCAAAAGAAAACTGCAAGGAAAGGACCCATTACAGAATGCTAACATCAAATCCACTGTTAATACTCACCTGCTCCCTCTGCTGGTCTCCTAACAAGTGACCCACAAAACTCATTGAAATCATTAATAGAAACACTAGGCATAGTTTAAGGCATAAATCAGCTGTAACTCATAAGTACCCTGGATGCCGTCAGTCCTAATAGAAAATAGCAGAGCACAGACAGAGCCTTGGCATCAGGCACGTAGGCACACACAGCTAGTGTGTGTAGAATACAGTGGTACAGTTCCTGCCCACAGCAGATGAGCCGCGCTTTGTGACCGAAACCTGTGTTCTCAGTCTCCAAAAACTGCCTGCAACAAGATCCCACTCTGAAGAGGCAAAGGAATACTGTGCCTAAGGCAGGACTTGGTGGCACTGGTGGTGAAGGTCATCCCCCAGGGAAAGCAGGTGAGGGTTAAATGACCTGTTGGAACACCTTCAGTGTGGGTTTTGATCCCAGCTATTTACTTAGTCAAGACGAAACCATCTCCCCAATGCCGACTTGCCCCATAGAGCAGCCTAAACTGAGAGAAACTACATTCCATGCTGAGAAAATTGTTTGTACAATTTAAAAAGGAAAAAAAACATTATGGGCATTAAGAGAAATGAAATATAATTGAACAAAGGGATGGTGAAGGTGTAAACAATTAGGTGGTGCCCAGAACTCACTCCTAAAGAGTCTGCTCGGCGATTGGACCCTACCCACCAGTGGAGAGGTTGAAGCAGGGGAGTAGCCCACTCTGGTCTGGAAAGGATTCTAAAGAGTGGAGAAGGAAGAGGCAGAGAAGCTGCTGCGGTCCCTCATGGAGATATTACCGTGGCCGAGCTTCAGTGGCAATGCGAGGCTCACAAACATTTGAAAAGAAGAATCCGTGTGACTGCCGTGATCGGGATGTCTTGCCCAGCATGAGCAGAGTCCCAAGTTCCATCCCCAGCAGCTTGGTCTGATTTCAGGGAAAGTAAACCTTTAACATCTTTAAATGCTGAACCAAAAAATTGTTTTCCTACATTAACAATATGAGAAGACAACAATAAAGTATTAGGCTTCTATAGTACTGTGGAGGGTGGGAGCATAATGATCATGGTTAAGCAGATGTCTCTGTGCTCGGATGAAGCATCCTCTGGGTGTATGCCCGAGTGGAATAGACGGATCTAGAGGAACCACCAAGCTGATTCCGTGGCAACTGTGAGTTTGCACTCCCACCAGCAATGGATGAGCGGTTCTCTTACTCCACATCCTCAACAAGCTACCACTTGTTTTGTTGATCTTAGCCGTTCTAACAGGTGTAAAATGAAATCACAAAGTAGTTTTGATCTGCGTTTCCCTAATGTCTAAGGATGTTAAACATTTAAGTGTTTCTCTGCCATTCGAGTTTCCTCTATTGAGAAGTCTGTTTAGATCTGTGCCACATTTTGTTAACTGGGCTGTTCCTTGATATCTAGTTTCTTGAGCTCTCTCTATATTTTTGCATAGTAGCTCTCCACTGGGTGTGTTCTTTTACAAATCTTTCCCCATTCTGTAGGCTGCTGCTTTGTCCTAGTGATGATGTTTTTCACTGTGCAGAAGCTTTCAGTGTCATGGGGTCCCCCTTTATTAATTGTTGATCTTAGTACATATGCTAGTGGGGTTCTGTTCAGAAAATCTTTTGTGCCAAGGAGTTCAAGGCTGTTCCTCACTTTGCCTTCTATCAAGTTCAGTGTAATCTGGTTTTATGTTGAGGTCTTTAATCCATTTGGAGTCTTGATCCAATGTAAATTTCTTTTAAGACACCCGGGGACTTTCGATGCCAATCTCACCCGCCCTAGCTGTGGTAGAAGCCCATGAGAATCATTTCTTTACCTTCACCACAGCTCTCAAAACAGTTTGACAGTTTCTTAAGGCAACTGAGCAGCTCACAGACAAAAATAATAAAAACACAAACATCCTATGCCATTAGCAAAACCAACAGATAGAGGACATAGCCAAGAGCCAGGCTAGCAAAGCCTTCACAGGGGAAAGCTCATGGCCACATTTTACCAAGACACTGCACTTCTTGCTAGACCATTTTCTTGAGGCTGCTGTGTTAAAGGTGCCGCAGACTCAGACTTCCAAGTCAATGCTAGCCTCCTTAAGCATCTTTACTGACATCACTGCATGTGACAGGGATAAAAAGAAGCTGCCTTTTACTCAGAGCTGCATGGCTGGGTGCTGAAGCTAATTCCATCAGTAGTCCTTCACCAAAGGCTCGCAGGGCAGGCTCTGTGGCTTTCAGCATACTATCTTTTTCTCTAGTTTCTTCTCTGGAAGAAATACTCAGTGAGAGAAATAAAGAAGACTCAGTCCAGTTAGTAAAAATGTGAAAGAATCCAAGGGGTATTGTAGACGATTCAAGTTACATCTTCAGGACGCAATGTGTAGCTTAATACCTTGCATTAATTTGTCATTTGATTAAGGAGATACATGTACATTTGTATGTATGTAAATTCCTTTGTTAAGGATTGGGTTTTATTAGCCCTAAATCTAAGTTGAAATCTTATCTCCAAGGACCTCAGAATGCTACCTTATTTGCAGTTAGAGCCATTCGGGTATACTGAATTAAGTCATACTGGAATAGTGTGGGCCCCTCATACAACATGGCCAGTATCTTTACAAGAAGACGGTCATGTGGAGGCAGAGGCATCCTCTGAAGATGCCATGTGACATCAGAGGCAGAGAGCAGGTGATAGTACCCGCAAACAGCCATCAGCCTCCAGAAACCCAGGAGAGGCCAGAACAGATATGATCTCAGGAGGAAGGACATTGGCCTGGGACATTCTGGCCTCCAAAACCATGAGAGTGTGAATTTCTAACCCACTTGGCTTGTGGCAGTTGTGATTTCCCTGATGAGCTAGTACAACCTCCAAAACAGTTCACACGAGGAAGGATATTACCACATGCCTCCTCCAAACTAACCACCTGATTCTCATACTTATTATTTCACCTGGGGGCAGGGGGCAAAGGTGACCCAGGCAGTTCTTGGCTTCTAGTGAGAACAATAGTCATGCCCAGCTCTTTCAAGACTTTGCTGGAAGGACTGCTGATCTGCGATTGCAGCCAGCCTCTAAAGGACCAGGCCAAATGTCATGTCTCCTTGGAAGCTCTCCCTGTCCTTCCCCATGTCAACTCAGGGTCACTGCACTGGAGGTGAGACGAGCTCAGCATCTCCACTCCGTGGTGGAGTCCTGACCTGAGGCCTGCTGCTATGAAGTGACTCGTGCACATTCACTTGCTGCACCTGCAAGGGGATCTCTCTACCACGAAAGGAAGACGTGCGGGTGTAGGGCTGCTCCCCACGTGCCAGTGTTTGTCTCAGCTACCTGTGTGGCAAGAGCCCCTTTTCCTTTCAGTCTGCAGCTCTCACCACTACAGCGGTGTTCTACAGAGACCCAAGCTGATGCCCTCAGGCCCAGCCACCTCAGGCTCCTGCTGCAGACGACAAGGTGCTGGGTGGTGTCACACTGGGAAGTCTTGACCTAAACATCCAGAAGCCCTTTCCTCAACATCTGCTGCTCCTGGCATCTTGGCTCCCCGCAGAGGCCCTTTAAGTTGTGGTGCTGTGGGGGTTTGGAATGGAAGCCTCCATCTTCTCTTTCTCCCCTGTGGTCTGGGGTTCGTTTTATTCTAATGAAACCAATAAGCATACGAAGGTCAGCAGCTCTGGGCCAAATTTAACTATCAGATGCACAGCACCTGACATAGAATAAATTGTTCCTAGGTAAACACATTCAGGGGTTCCATGTATGCAAATGATCTTTTAGTAAGTAGTCTAGATCTTGCCTTTAAAAGTGTTATCAGAGCCAGGTGGAGGTGGTGCACAAAGTTAATCTCGGGAGGCAGAGCAGGTGGATCTCTGAGTTCAAGGCCAGCCTGGTCCACAGAGCAAGTTCCAGGACAGCCAAAACTGTTACACAGAGAAACCCCGTCTCTAAAACCAGAGAGAGAGTTATCTTTCAAAATTATTTGCCATATTTTGTAAGACACTGCCCCTTTTCTGCTACTTTTAGACCTGCTGGACCTCAGCTGAAAGCCATACATACACCTTGCACTTGAAGACATCAAGACAGGTAGCAAATCTTCAGTAGTTAAGGGCAGAGGAGTCTGAGTATGCCCACAACTGCAGCATCAGCATAATGTGTAGCTCAGCGGTCTACAGTGTTACCATGTTAGTCCTTTGGGGTTTCAGTACTAGCTCCCTGTATTCGCTTCTGTAGATGTGAAAGAGATTTCAGCTTCTATACGAGAGAGATAAGGCAAGCATAGAAAGACCTTTTGAATATAGGTCCTGCCTGCAAAGTCCCTCATGAAAAATGAAAGCATTCTCACGTGACCAATGGGAACAAGGTCTCCTCTGACCACCTGTGCCACACGACATCTTTCCCACGTCTCATGCTGGACCTTGGGTTCTCTGGCCTCTTTGGGGAAAGTGTTACCCCCAAGGGCAGTTCCAGACTGGGCTCTCCTTTCTAAAAGTAGCATGCCGACTTTGTCTTCCACACCCTCAGCTGTCTTGGTAAGTGTGTGGACCGTGGTCTTACTGCAGAATCAAGCTCGGACTGTTAAGGTGACTTGTATGAGAAGGAAGCCATGACAGTTATTTCCAAAGCTGGTGTTTCTAGGAAAACACTCAAGCCTGCCCCTGTTCACTGTCTGTTATCAATTCTAATCAGCAGTTTAGCTGGCAGTGGGAAAGGGGGAAAAAAATAAAGCTTCCCACCTAAAACATTGGGAAACCCCTTCCCATGATGAGTTTATTTAGGACCTAAAATTACGCATTTTCAGGATGCCAGAACCAAAGCCCAACTTCGCACCTGTGTTCTAGAATGTATTTTGAATGCCTTAATGACTAAACGGGGAAAATTTTGAACTATTTTCTAAATATAACCTTAAATTTTACTGCTCCAGTGTTTTCTTCCCTTTTTGGACAATATTCTACTTTCTGGTTACCAAAGTGTTAGTAATGAGGAAATAAACTAGATTCAAATATAAGACATGGGCCCAGAGGCAGGACTGTCTCCATGAGTTTGAGGCCAGTCTGGTCTACATGATGAGTTCCAGGACTACAAAGAGAGACTTTGTCTCCAAAATAACAAAACACACATGCACACGCACGTGCATGCACACACACACAAACAAAATCAAATGTAAGGCACACCTATGAAACTGTGATTGTTTGTGTTAGAGTCAAGCTTTCAAGCTTTGTAGAAGTGACTAGCTTCAGGGTCCTAGCAGTCATTCTGCCTCAGCCTTTTGAGAGCTGGGATTGCAGGCCGGAGCCACCATATGCAGCTTGTTTGACACTTCCAGATAGATGTGCTGTGACATACAGATAGAAGAATGAAGGCTGCCCAGGATCTTCGATTGCCTCGAGACAGTGACACACTCATTAGGGATTTGGGCAGCAGCCATGCCCACCTTGGTACGGTAGAGCTGATCAACACCGCATAGTACTCCACTCTCCAGCATCTGCCGAATAACCAGAGAAAATTCCATCTGCAGTTGAAAGGGTCTGGTCTGTTCCCTTAGGAATGATGACCAAGTGCACTCTGTCCTCTGTAGATACTGGAAACCATGTCTGTGTTCAGAGTCGAACTGTCCAAGATCTTCTGATTAACTCATGCATTCCTAAGGATAGCATTTTACTGGAACTTTTATTAGAGGCTCTTGAGCAATTGACTTGGAGCACAGATAATCTGAGCATACCTGATATATGGCCTGAACTTCTGTCCATGTGTCTATTGTTGCTGCATACATGACATTAACCCCTTGAATCAGTGTGGATGGTATGTGGTGAGTGCTTAGCATCTTATACTGAGAAAAGACTTTAGAAAAAGCAAATAGGCAACAGCAGTTCTTTATAACCCTACAGCTCGTCACCGGGACTCGCCAAATTTCTTAGTTGTAAGGAAAGATACTAACAGATGCTTTCTAATTTAGATATAAGTGGAATTGATTGTAAAGAAATTGGGCATGTTAAATAATACTAGTGATGAAGAGGCTGTGTGCTGTTTGGGTAGTAGCTGAGGTACAGTGCGAACACAAAACAGACGGATCTGCTCCCATCACCTCCAACTCTGGGGAGATGCTAAGGGTTCCATGTGCCCTTGACTGGGAGGCAGATGCCACCTCCTTTAGAATCTCACTCCTGAGTCTGTCTCTGTGTCGATGGGTGTGCACTCCCAATCCACTGCACACATTGGGAAATGGAGCCAGGCATCTCTGCCATCACACGATAGGGAATTGCCAAATGTAAGCTGGCACTCAAATGCCAGCCAGGGGAGTAAGACCCACATGCACTTGCAAATGCAGTCTGGCCTACATATTGTTAGGTGTTAGCACTTCCATGGTGCCCTTGTGGCTGGTGCCTGCCTTAAACTGGAATCATCTGAGTCCTTTTGTTGTTCATAACCCAGTAAGGCAAAATGCCTCCCCCAGTCCTCATGGCTCGACTGTATCGCTGGAACGTGGGCTGCCTGCCTCCTGTTCCTGTAGGTAACTACACGTGATGCATTTCCATAGTTAGTGTTGAAAGAATCCATAGCTATATTAGTTTTTTAATAGGTGAGAGATTTATTACTCAATGGATTGCTCCCCCACCAAAAAAAAAAATCTCCACACCCTGCTAGTGGTCTGTGACTCCTGGAAACCCCTGCTCATCCCCAGAGTCATCTGTAATCGAAACCCTCGGATTTTATGTTGAATTTGCAATTTAAAAAATCCCAGATTGATTTCATAGTCCAGACACACTTTCAAAGCAGCACTGCACATGGAGGAGCTGGGGACAAAGGGACTCACAAGCTCCTCTTCCCTGCCCCATCAGAGACATTGATCCGTTCTCTGCACAAAATGTTTACATTCATATCAAATCTAGGGTTTAGTGAACCATGAAAGTTAGAGGTTAATGGAAACAAGAATTGACCCCGAAGCATATTTCAACTGATTTAAAAAGAGACAAAGCAGATGTAATTACTGTGAAAAGTCCTTTTACTGCACTGAGCCTGCTCTCGTGTAATCTCGGCCTCCTCGGCCTCCTAGCTGCATACACCCGTGCATTCCAAGGGCACAGTGACATTACCAGAACACGATTCAGGGCAGCCCTGACTCCTCAGATCCTTAGAACTGGAAGAGAAGGGGCATAGAGAAGAGCTGTCTCCCGAAGCACTTTGTTTCAGCTATAGCTTCACTTGATATTCTGACAGTATACACAACAATTAGTTATGACTTGTTCAAGTGGCTTCCCAGGGGCAGGGAAGATGTCTCAGTGGGGCACGTGCTTGTTATGGGACTTGCGTTGGAATCCTCACCACCCATGTGAAAAGCCAGGCTTGACAGCAAGAGTCTGTAACCCCAGCACCAGGGGGAAGAGATAGGAAGAGCCCAGAAGGTAGTCAGCCAGTGAGGTTCAGTGAGAGACCCTGCTCACAAAACTGTTCCCACCAGTCCCTGGCCTCTACACACACACACACACACACACACACACACACACACACACCCCCCTATGCATGTCAGCCAGTGAGGTTCAGTGAGAGACCCTGCTCACAAAACTGTTACCACCAGTCCCTGGCCTCCACACACACACACACACACACACACACACACACACAAACCTATGCATGTGAGCCAGGTGAGGTTCAGTGAGAGACCCTGCTCACAAAATAGTTAATCTAGTGCCTGCACTACGAGACAGTTCACGAGACAGGAAAGGGGCTAGAGATTTAAACACATAGACAGGGATATGAGGACATGGGTCATCCTTGAACCAAGAATGCCCCTTTATTGTGTTCCAGGGCAGCTTATATAGGGATCCTTAACTGATAGTCACGCCCCAGCCAAACCCACCAGAAACCACTCCCCTGCCATCAGGAACTCCTGAGACTCTCGTACTCAGAGCAGCTGCAGACACAGGAAAACAAGCAAGTACAAGTTGTTTATAAGAAATTCAGAGTCTGGGGGTCCACAGCACCCAACAAGTTAACACCAGCACCTGACCTCTACACTCACACACCGCTTTACAACAAAGTGATTCTTTCCTGATTGCATTTGCCACAGTCAGATTCTGCCAAGACTTAGCTATTGCAAGAGAGTCTTGCTTACCAACACAGTTCTTCTGCTAAGTATGTGGGGGTTCACTATGTTATCTGGTCCCACAATGACTTCATATATAAACCAGAAATTGCAGAAGTGCTCAAGAGCCTTAAAGTCCAAATACAATGTAAGAAGCAGCATCTTAAATCTAAAATGCATTATATTAGTAGGGTTCAGTGAACCAACAGGTAGCCCGACCCATCCCGGTGCCAACAGTTTTGGCAGTATAACAGGCGTAAGAGTTTGTAAGCATTAACTGGTCTTCTGATTTAGCTTGCAATTGAGAGAAAAACCATATTTTTTTAATCTTTAAAAATGGCTACAGAATCTGTTTCCTGATTTTTGGGGGCGGTGGGGAGAGGGGGGGAGTGCCAATCAAAGGACTTAGTACAAGTGAAAACATAGTTTTTTTCCTGTTGGAGAAAAAGGAGGTATGGTTCTGGCCAACAGTGCACACACAGCTAAGGTGAGAAGGAATAACATTCCCTGGGGTGCTGAGTCTACCGACCACAACTGTCCTACAAGCTTCCTGTTGAGGAGACCGTTTAGATGAACTCTCCAGGGAAGCAGGCTATGTTGTCAGCACAGCTGGGAATGTGATGGTACATGGTTCATACATATGTCACAGCTGTCTGAGACCTCTTCCCTGGACAGAGCTTCTCTCTGGGGCCGCAGTGCAGCTGGAGCCTGAATACTGCTCCTGTTGGCTGCCTCTGTTTTTCCTCACCTCCTAAAACCTGAAGCTAGGATGCTAAGGATAGATCAACACCCCTGCCTAGGTCTGCCTTTCGAGATATTACAAAGTAAGAACACTGTATATTTTTTCTCTTATTAAAATGCATCCTCCATTCTCTGCCTCCCAAGTGCTGGGAGTGAAGGTGTGCCTCACCACACCCAGCCTCTTTCTCCTCTTTTAAAAATGAAGTTAATGTCTAAAAACGTAGCCTATACTTCTTTCCTCAGGACCAGTCACGCCAGCAGA